ATTGCTAAAACCTTTTAAGGTGTTAGCTGAGAAAGACCAGCGAGCATGGAGCTGCCCTCCCTTCCAGGTAGCTCCTTTCCTAGACCCGGGGCCAGGTGAAGGTGATTGTCAAGGGCTGGACAGTGGTCAGGATCGGGCTGAGAGGAGTGCTGGGCTTGTTAGAAGTGCTCTTGGCTTCTGCATGACCTCTCAAGGCCCTATGCTATACTCTAGGGTCACAGTTAAGATATTTAGCAAGCAGGATGGCCTAGGCACTGGCCAGCTGGAGTGGAGAAAGTCTTTATGGCTGGAGGTCTTGGCTGCACCTGGCCTGAGCCTTTAGGTGCTGGATGGGATAGTGATGGGGAGCACCTGGGGGAAGGACCAGGGTGTGGGTGTGAGGAAGCCTTGGGGAGGTCAGAGCACCCAGTATTCACCTATCAGTACAAACCTCTTTCAACATTCCACCAACCAGTGTGGCCACTCTCCTGCTGGATGTCAGGGCTGAATGTTGGCTCTGAGAAAGGTGGATCGGAGCCTCACATTTTATAAGAATCAGATTCACTTGGGGAGATTGTTAAAAGCAACAGACAACCCAGAGCCCACTTCCAAACTACTGAGTGAGATGAGACTCTCTACGGCCCCGGCCAGGCTTACTATACTCCTGAGATCTGAGTTTCCTGGATCAGCTGATTTCTAAGGATTCTGCAACTTTCCAGGGGTTTATGAGGACTTGAGAGATAAGAGTCCTGCCAGTCTCTGGGGGGAATATGCCCAATTGAGGGGCAGGTCACATGGGTGAGTGAAGCAGGCTGCTGGGGCGCAGCACATTGAAGAATGAATGTTCATTTATTTCAAGCCACCTGGACCCTAACCTAGCCCCCTGGATTGCTGCTGCCGGCGAAGGAAGGCCTGGTGTGGACAGACTCCCTGACTTCTCAAGACACACTAGAGGTCACTGAGCCACGTTTTGAGTCAGTCCTGCATCTCTTCAAGACACAGGTGGGTGCGCTCCTTTAAACTCTTCCTGCTCTGAAATCCCTGTCTGTGGGACAGAAGGGTGGAGGAGGCGGGGTGGGTTCCACACACAAAGGGAAGGAGACAAATCCCAAGTGAGGATCTTGATGCTGCTTAATGAAGCCATTTCTTCAGGTATAGTCCTCAGAGTATGTCCCCAGCTGGGCGTGACCCGCCATCCCTGCTCAGATGTCTCCTATTTTCCCCCAATCAAATCCTACTCTTAGCACCTTTCATAGCACCGAGATGCCAGCGCCTGACCACGGGGCAAAGGGGCACTCTTCCTAGGGACTGTCGGAACCTTAGCTGAGTGGTGGTGCTCTCACAGGATGGAATTTTCACCTTCAAACTTGAGGGGCTAGGGTTCTACCTGGGATCTGTGGAATGTTCCACAGGGAAATGAATTCCTCTAAGATAATTTGGCTCCACTGCTACAGTTAAACCTAAATGCTGAGGCTCTTTTCTTGCTTGGAATACCCTTTTCCCACCACTTTGTGTATCTGACTTGCTCTTGTGCTCAGGACTCAGACGCTGTTCTGTCTCCCAGGACTAGTCTGTGTGTCTCCTTTTAGCACCACAGTCCTGGGCGGGCCCTTGTGTTGGAATCTCTCACCTGAAATTTCAGTAGCCTGCTTGCTTAAAAACATCCCATCTAAAATTTATCAGGTGTTCATGATGCCAACACTGTGTAAGTCACTTTGTATCATTATCTCAGATAATCCTCCTAATAGCCTAATGAGGTTGGCACTACGCTGTATTATTCCTACGCAAGAAAACGAGGCTCTGAGAGATGAAGTAACTTGCCTGACATCCCATGGCCAGAAAGTGCTAAATGAAGACCTGAACTGTGTGCACAGCAGAGCCTTCTGGGCTCTTTTGCGTTTGCAACCAAAAATGCACTGTGCTGCCTCCTGGCAGTCCAGAATCAGCATCCTGAAGTCAAGGATGGGTTTTTGGTTCGTGCAGCAAATCCCAAGTTGGGCTCTGAAGTCAGATAGTTTGAAGCTACGTCCTTGTCTGTGGTTAACGTTCAAGCTTCAGTCTCTTTGGCTCTGAAATGGGAACAATCTACCTGCCTTATAGGGATATGGTGGAAATTACATTAGAGAATGTGTTATCATCTTCATTGCTGTGCTTAGCACACAGTAAATGTTAAGAACATGTTGCGGTTGGGTATGACGGCTCACGTCTGTAATCCCAGCACTTTGGGAGGCCAAGGCATGAGAAGACCAAGCCCAGGAGTCTGAGTCCAGCATAGGCAACATACCAAGACTCCGTCTCTACAAAGAGTATAACAATAAATTTACAAAGCATGTTGGTGGAATGAATGAGTTAAAGTTGCCAGTGAAGCCAACTTTTACTTGGAAATAATATTCTCTGCCCCTTTTATGTCCTCTTAAAACTCCACAAAGATGGGATTTGCTTTGGGAGAGGGTGAGTTTGATGCTGTGCATGGGTGAAGAGGCTGGATGGAGTGGAGGTGGCAAGGCTTGCAGTTGTTTGCATCACTCAGAGGGGTTATCCCATAGAGATAATAGATGGTGGGAAGAACATTCCATTTCATTTGGAAGGCAAGGACATCTCCATTACATCTAAACACCCTGCTCATCAGCCACAAAACTTAAAAATCAACTGGATGCATCGCTACTGAGGAGCAGACTAAATACTTGGTTGGCCAGTCATGTCATGTCTCTGCTAGTCTGCGTGTAGAGTAGACTGCTAAACATTGCTAAACCCATTGAGAGTGCTTTTTGGGTAAAGATGAGGTATAGGTATTTACATTTTGACAAATCACACAATGCCTCCCTGTCCTTGTGACTTTATCTCATTTCTCCAATTGGATTATTATATTTAGTTCAATGAGGCATGGATTTGGGCATGTTGATTTTGTGGAACTAATGGGTCAATATCTCATATTTGTTTAGGTCCACAAAGGTGAGATATTAACCCAAAGTTTGTGAGATATGGACCCAAATGTGATTGGGATTGCTAGAACAACGTGCTATCATGTTGGCTCTACTGACCCCTAAGGTCTGACACAATGGCAGCATTTTATGAGAGGAGTATGGTTTGTTTTATTAAGGTCTGGAAAATGTGGACAATTCAGTTTGCTGAGTGTGTGAGTGAATATGTAAAAGACATGTGTTTTTAATCCCAGGACCTTCAAGAGCTATCTAGGGGAAAGGTCTAAGTAGACCTGCCTTTTCTTTTTCTTTCTTTTTTTTTTTTCCATGGCACCCAGCCTTAGCAGCAAATGTTATTTATGTGTTAAAGTGCCCACATTGATGGGCACACAATAAATGTTAAATCACAACAATTAAGCCTAATGAGGATTAATAGTTGTCCTACAGCACTGCCTTGGCTTCCTGGGATGCCGCCTGTATACCCTGATTACAAGGCTCTGCCTGGCTGGTCCTGCTCACGTCAGTTCCATCTTAGTGGGGTCACCTAGCTGTGCCCCATTCTGCATTGCAGGCTCCGTCCTTCTTCCCCCACCCTGTCGGGAATGTAAGGCTGCCCACCCCTTGCCTCCTTTAGCCTCTTCGGCATGGCTTCTCTCAATCCTCTTTCACTCTTACTCTCACACTCACCTTCTTTCCTCCATATTTTCTTTGCCCTCCTACTTCCTCCTTCTCCTTTACCCTCTTTTCTCCTCCAGTTTTCTTTGTTCTCCCCCTTTTATAGCGGCTTTCCCCTAGGAAGCTCCCCCACCCCAGCCTCGGGCTGCCATATTCCCATGATGTTGTTGCCTTGTGGCTGAAACAGCTCATTTGCCCCAAGTGAGAAGAAACCAGGGGAAGTCAGGACAATATATATACAAATATATAGCTAAACCCACCCCACATAAGGTTGTTTTTAAGCACATTGTGCTTTTCTTCTTTTTTTTAGAGTCTCGCTCTGTCGCCCTGGCTGGTGTGCAGTGAGGCAACCTCAGCTCACTGCAACCTCCGCCTACCAGGTTCAGGCTATTCTTGTGCCTCAGCCTCCCGAGTAGGTGGTATTATAGGCACGTGCCACCATGCTTGGCTAATTTTTGTGTGTTTAGTAGAGATGGGGTTTCATCATGTCGGCCAGGCTGCTCTCGGACTCCTGACCTCAAGTGATCTGCCTGCCTCGGCTTCCCAAAGTGTTAGGATGACAGGTGTGAGCCACCACACCTGGCCCCTGTTGCGCTTTCTTGAAGTCAGACTATTTGTCTAAACCCTAACCCCATATAGGATTGTTTGTAAGCATGCTGTGTTTTCTAGAAGTCTGACTATACAGCCAGGATGAATTAATTGTCCATAATACCATGCATGGCCCTATCCACAGCCATGGGCTTTCTTCTTATCTATTGCATAAGATTACATGTGGGAAAAATGGACCAAGAAGCTTAAAGAATGATAATCTTGTGATATTTGGTACTCAGAGATCTTTCTGACCTTCTTAAGTGGAGGATACTCAGGAAGCTGACTCCTAGTTTTATTGGGTTCTGAAAATGTTCAAAGTATCCTCCTCACACCCCTTGCAGAAATTCTCCCTTTGCAGCCAGGATCACGACTTTACAGAGGGAAAAAGATATGGCAGCTACTAGTGGCCAGTGCAGAGGCCCCAGAAGATGGGAGAAGCTGTTCTAATGCTTGTTGAGGATACTGCAAGGTGAAAGAAGCAACGCCAACAATCCCACCATTGTCACACTCCTGCCGCAGCCCCCTTTAGGACGCCATAGAAATTCTACACAGTAATGCGGGAATGACAAGAGGCACACTCCATGCTGGGGCATAAAGTGGGCACAACAATTTTTCACTCCTTGGTCTGAGTAAAAACGAGCTCTGTGGCATCAAATCATGATGTTTGTATGTTTGAAAGGTCACCCAGTCTATCCTCCCAACCAGGGCAGGAATTCCTGCTTCCACCTTTCCTTTCTTGGAGGTAAAATAGAAAGAACAGGGGCCCATGCTCAAGTCCCCAAAGAATGTCAGGATGCCCTCAATGGAGGCAGATTGTATTTAAATGCAATTCACCTCTTTGGGGTCCAGGAAAAGCCACCTGCAGGTTCATTTGCTGGAAAACACAGTCTGCATGGCTGAGGAAGTGGACCCCAGGATTGCGGCCTTGCCAGGAGCTGACTTTCTCCGGAGGCCTGTCTGTTGTCCGGAGTGGCAGCCGCTTCGGTGGGCAAATAGTACGGTCATCTCTGGGCCCACGGAGGCTGCTTCAGGCTGGGACGCCTTGAGGGTGGCTGGCTGTTCAGGCTTTCCAGAGGTGGGATGGGAGGTATAATGTTTGGTGGGAGGAGGGCTGTAATTCTGAAATCTCACGGTTTTGACTTGCTGCAAGAGAAAGGAGAGGAAATGGACACGGGTGAGTGGGAGACGTCAGTTTTCCTATGCTTGCCCCCACTTGAAATGCCTCATTTGTGTTTACTCTGCAAATATCAGTGCCTACCGTGAGTGTCAAGTGCTATGATGGGGGAAGTACAAGATGCTGAGAGTGCAGAGGACCCTCTAACTCCAGCTGGAAGTGGAGAAGCCAGGGAAGTTTTCCAGAGGCATTAAACTGAAGACCACAAAAGGATTAGGACTTATCTGGGAGAAATAGGGTAGGCCACTGCCTATGAAAACAGCCTGAGGCAAGAGGGTAGGATCCCTTCTGGAAGATAAAAGAAATTTACCTTGACTGTCTCCTCTCTACCTACTATTAAGGCTAATCTCAAGGCTTTCCTTTTGTTTGAGGCCTCTCTCCTGATAGAGATTTCCATATGGCCTTACAAGTCCTTAGAGCACAGTTTGCAAACTGGACACCTGCTGGCTGAATTTAGCCTGCAGAATGTTTGAGGATTTGATCGACTTGCCAACACATAAAAATTGGGAGATTGCATATAAAAATCAGAATTTCATATGTCTTCCCCCCCGCCAAAAAAAAAAAATTAAAGTTCTGGCACACTGGGCCTATGCCTTATTCTGACAACAGCTGGTCGGGCCTGAGAAGCAGGGCCCCCTTTATATGAGATACAAGGTCTCCAGCTTATGCAAATTCCCCCTCTCTCTCTTTTCTTTCACCTCGTCTCGCCTGTTATATATCTGTCAGGTACCTATAGGTACAGTATTTGCTTTGGCCAGTCTCTATCTTAGCTACTGCTCAGGAGTGATGTCTTTTTTTCCCCATGCAATTCAATCCTAGTGTCCCCACTAAAATCTGAGTTTCTAAATACTTTCTGACCCTCATCATATCTAGCCAAGGTCTGGGCATTTATGAAATGCGTATGGTTGTATCTAAAAGCTTGGAGTAATGGGCAACTGGGGCCTAGAAAACTTTGAATCATTTCTGTAATTCAGAACAAGAACTCCCAACATTTATATCTGTCAATGCTTTTTCCAACGCCTTTCCCAATGAGCTTATAGCTTAGTATTAAGAGCATGAGTTTTGTATCAGATCTGGATTCTACTCCACATATATGTGTCAACTGTGTGGTCTTGGGTAATCTTGAACTCCCTGAGCTGCCATTTTCTAATTTTAAAATGAGGATGAAACTAATGCCTATTTGAGAGGGCTGTTGCCAGGATTAAATAGGTAGGGCCCATGAAGTACTCAGTACAGTGCCTGCCAGCTTGTTAGTACTCAGTAACTGCTTAACCAACCGGGGGAATTGCATCCTCTTTCCATTCTGAGGGGAGTGAATGATGATGGTGGAATGACGCTGATGGCAGTGGTGCTGGAGGTAGTGATGGCGATGATGTGATGATGGTGATGATCCATAAGTTAAAAGACAGCAATAAGCCTCACCTAACTTTCTTACTGTCTTCTCTTCCCGCCTTCCCTTCTGCTTCAAATATATTATGAAGAACTTAAGTCTTTTACAAAAACTCTTATGTCTGCTAGTGGGAAAAGTCCTGGACTAGAAGTTGACAGATGTGACCTCTGCCACGGAGGTCACAATAAGTTAGTTGGAGTCATTATCATTCAGTGTGACCTCGATGTCACTTACATTACCCTGTGTCTCAGTTGCCTCTTTTTTTTTTTTTTTTGAGACAGAGTTTCACTCTTGTTGTCCAGACTGGAGTGCATTGGTGCAATCTCCGCTCACTGCAATCTCCACCTCCTGAGTTCAAGTGATTCTCCTGCCTCAGCCTCCTGAGTAGCTGGGATTACAGGCGCCCGCCACAATGCATGGCTAATTTTGTATTTTTAGTAGAGACGGGCTTCTCCATGTTGGTCAGATTGGTCTTGAACTCCTGACCTCAGGTGATCAGCCCTCCTCAGCCTCCCAAAGTGCTGGGATTACAGGCGTGAGTCACTGCGCCCAGCCATTTGCCTCTTTTATACAATGTATAATTATGTGTCAAACCCTATGTAAGCACTTTACATAACTCATTTAATCTCCAATACTGTGTGGCCATTACTCATTCTACCTCCATTTTACAGATTATGCAAAATAAGTGTTTCAGAAGGGTGAAGTATTTTGACCAAAGTCACCCAGCTAGCAAGCAGCAGAGCTGGAATTCAAAACAAGATTTGTCTAATGCCAAAGTCATGCTTTGTTACAAGCCACTTTTGGGCTTCAAAAGATGTATAAAATATTCAGGAAACATAAAGGAGACTTGGTAACACACATAGGGAGGGTGTGAATGATGTAGGGATGTTGGCCATGGCACGGTGGGGAGCTGGGGAGGAGGAGTGTTGTGCGTGAGGCTGCAATTTTGGTTCCATGTCCACCAACACTAAAATCTCAGAACTGAGACACTGTGCAAAGTGGAGGATCAAAAGAGTCAGGCCCCCAATGTCACTCTGATCCTACCTTTTCGATGCCATTTCTTGAGTTTTCTGGTTTCACCAAGATGGATGGTGGGGCAGACGCAGGTGGTTTTGGCAGAGGCTCACTCTTGACAGGGATTTCCTTGCCTTCCATGATGAGGGAGCTGGCTGCCGAGTGGATCCGGGCCTCGCTGCCCCTGCTGATGCACGTGAGGGCGGGCTCCCCCGTGGGGGCAGGCTTGGGCCCCATCTCCACCACCACGGCCGAGGGGGAAGAGGGGACCCCCTGTGGCTGGTAGAATTGGAACTGCTGAGGCCGAACGACCATGGTGGGGCTGCGTCTGAGGGAGCCTACCACGAGAGTGGGGATCCCAGACTGGACGGGTCTCTGCAGGGATCCATCTGGGGGATTATAAGACAGAGAGGTCAGCAGCAGGGGCAGCTGGCAGTAGGTTGGGTGGGGCTGGGTAAGCAGTGCATCCTGGTATCCCAGAATAGATAAGTGCTTTCCTAATCTGACTGCATTCACATTCTCTTGGGGTCTTTCAAAGGTGACTTTATTCTTTTTTTAGTGCTGTTTACTGATGCTGGCAGCAAATAGCTCTCTGGCTGAATGGTGTGCGTGTGTGTGTGTGTGTGTGTGTGTGTGTGTGTGTGTAGAGGGGCTGTCAGCAGAAGGTATATTGCTTCCATTCGCCTTCAGTCTCTCTCTCTCTCTCTCTCTCCACACACACACACACACATGAAGCAGACACAGAGGCAGGCAGACCAAATAGGAAACAAATGACAGAATCAGAGACAGGAGATCGAGAGAAACAAAGGAGAGGCAACTGAGAAGACTGGGAGAGAGGAAAATTAGAAAAGAGAGAGGAGGAGAGAGAGAAAGTCTGACCAGAGACTTGACTTGCTGTGAAAATCCTAACAGAAGCTTTAGGCATGTGGTGGGGGGTTGCTGCAGGGAGAAAGGGTGAGTGGACAGAGGCAAATTTGGAAAGGGTATTCCACAGTGAGGGCTGTGTGGATGGGCTTTGCAATGTCTCATGACAGATCTCGAATCAGACCTCCTGGGGAGCCTGCGATAAGTAAGTCTCATCACCTCTCTGAACCTCAGTTTTCTCATTTGTAAGCTGGAGATAATAACAGTATGTCATTGGGCTGCTGTGCGAATTGCGTTCTATTAGGTGTGCAGTGTTAGGATAGTGCCTGGAACGTGATAAACACTGCATGTTTGTAAGCTATCATTATTTTTGGGTAAAGGATAGCATATCCTAAAAACGCTAGGTCCAAGAGTTTGGTTTTGTCCCTTCCTGAGCTCATTCTTCTTCTTCTTCTTCTTTTTTTTTTTAATTGAGATGGTCCTGTCTCAGTAAAAGGCCATTTCTTTCCCTGAAATTCTCTGGCAGGCAGGAGATCCCCTGCCATCAGCTACATATGTCCTGTAGCTGACCTGGGGGATCGGGAGTTCATTGCATTCTGTGGGGAGGTGGAGGAGATACCCCTTTCTCCATAAGGGTCTCCCAGCATTTAGAGAGTTGCAGGTTTTATCCCAGCCAGAGCTGCTAGTCCTTTGTGACACTCCACAGACTCGAGTTTGAATCAAAGTCATTTGTGTCCCTCACAGAGGGCCTGAGCCAAGGCCACGTCTGCATCATGACTCTATCAAACCAGATGTGTACATGAAAAGCAGGACGCTCACTTAACACAGTCGGTGTCCTCAGCTGCTGCAAGCAAGCCAGTCACTGTTTACACAATGTGACCTTTCAATTTAGACATTTATTTTTCCACAGACAGCCCTGTGAGGTTCACGCGGTCAATTCTCCTGTCATTTCTCTTTGCTCTGGAGAGACTGACAGCTTGCCAGCCTCACCTTGGGAAAAGACAGAAAAAGAAAGCCTCCGGGACCTGGGAAGTCAAAGAAGCACCAGGCAAACATGTCCTTAGGCTCTTGTAAACGTATGAAAAATTGGTCTGATGCCTTATCTATTTATCTTGTCAATTCCTAATTTCCCAGAGAGTTAATGCTTTCTTATTACATGTGCATACAGTGCAAGCAGTCGAAGCTTCATGCCAATCAAGATTTTGCTAAGGTGGAGAAGGAGTATATTAAGGAAAGTGTGAGCAATTGCTTTTGGGATGCAACTCTGCATACCTAAGTGGTCTAGACTGAGTGTGAATGTTTCTTCTTTTTTTCAAATCAAATATATATATATATTTCCTTGAGACAGGCTAGACTGGAGTACAGTGGGAGACTGCAGCTCACTGCAGTCTCAAGCAGTCTCAACTTCCCCGGCTCAAGTCATCCTCCTGCCTTGGTCCCAAAAGTAGCTGAGACCACAGGCATGTGTCACCATGATCAGCTTGTTCCTTTAATTTTTTTAGCAATGAGGTCTCACTATATTGCCCAGGCTGGTCTTGAACTCCTGAGCTCAAGCGATCCTCCCACCTCAGCCTCCCAAAGTGCTAGGATTACAGGTGTGAGCCACACACATTCAGCTGTGTATGAACATTTCAACCCTAAGTGAGTTCGTGCTCTGGATGAACCAAAGATGATTTGATTGTAGTAGCAATGATAGTAATAAAAAATACTATATAAAAAACTAATACTTCTTGACAGATTATTATGTGCCAGGCACTGTGCTATCAGTCATACATGGGTTGTTTTATTAAGTTAACCCTGACGAGGCAGGAATTTTTATTTCCCTTTTACAGAAGAGTGAACTGAAGGCTGAAGAAGTTAGTCATTTGCTCAAGGTTATTGTGGTGGGTTTGCTTACAGTGTGTGTGTTGAGGGGAGCGGTGAGGGAGGTACAGGAAGGTGATGGAGGGAGGCATGGTTGAGTGGAATAAAGTGCCCAGAGTCATGGGACTGGAGGTCAAGCAGGCTGCCAGATGAAAAAGGCACTGGACAGGGAAGCTAAGATATGTGCTTTCTTTTTAACGAAAGAGCTTTACTTTAAAAGGGTCATATTGTCCCACACATTATTCTTCTGCCTTGACCAATCATATTGCATTTTCATTAATTCATTTGTTAAGCTCATAAGAGAGATCGCAGAGCTTAGTTTAATTCAGAGAAGATAGAATAAATCATATTTATGGGGCTTGGCTAGTTGTCGTCTTCTACAGAGGTATACGAAAATAAAATCTTGATGTTTTGTAGAAGAATTGGGTTTCAAACACTGTTTCCAATGCCTGAAAAGGAAGTCTTATGTGGAAGTTCACTATGTGTAGAGAAAGGAGCATAGTTCTTAAGATGAAGAATCTGTATGCATTGCCATGTGTGCAATGCGGATGTTGTGATGGTAAAAATAAAGCACGGTGCAGAACAATGCAGTGAGTATGGTTAACAGGTGTGTGTGTTTCCATCTATCTATCTACGGAAGAGAACTTGGGACTCAGTTAAGGATACGAGGGAGATTTGCTTTTGTACAATTCATATACAATAAACCTTTTTAAGAAAGTTCTATGCATTCATTACTTAAATAACATAGTGGGAACTAGGGGCTCTGGTCACTGCCTCCTTAATCCTTATTTCCTACTTCCACACCCTGCCCTCCCAACCCTTCCTTCTGTGTCCCCCATGAAAGATTCCCTGGAGTACAGTTTGAGAAGCACTGATCCAGCAAATGCTCTCATCACTCTGTCTTAATAAGAGCCAGTGTTCACGCTGGGCATGTTCTAATTACATGTTGGCATTCAGGGCTGCCATCACCATCGTCATTCAACAAGCATGTATGAAGTAACCTAAGGCCATGACATTGAGTTGGTATGACACTTCATTCAATAAAACTCATCATTTGGGAATTGTACAATACCCTTTGCAGGGGCTTAGTTTAAAGTCAAGATCCTGTTTTTGCAAAGAGCATCGTGTGTACCCCGGGGTCAGATCCCACCATCACTTAGCTCTAGGCACGTACCTCTCTGCCACCACTTACTCTTTCTCATGCTGCTCCGCCCTTTCCGAAGAGACCCTTGTCCTAAAGTCCCAGGGCCGGCTGTGCTCCTCACTGGGTTGACTATGGCGGTGGGCACAAAGACGGATTTGAAGGGACGGCTTTGCCGGGGATCACCTTCTGAAATGCTGCCTTGGGAGGACACAGAGGAGGTGGATAACGTCCATGTGGCGTAGAGACCAGGGCTCCGGGAGTCTGGAAAACTAGAGGTCTTTCTGGTTTTGGACATTTTTTTTAAAGAGAAGAAATAGAGAAAGAAAATGTTCAGTCAAGAGTCCTATTTAAAAACCTATCAGCTTCCAACCACATACCAAATGTGGCCACTTCTCACCTTCTTCCCACCCATACACACCCATTTTGTCAACCATAGGCTTAACTAAAGTTGGCCCCACCTCCTTACACCCGGGTAACTGTGAGGGTGTGCTGAGGGAAGGAATGCGGGGGTGGGGGAGTGGATCATATCAAGGCCTTGGTGGAACTAGAAGACTTGAATTTCATCCTTTCTCACTCCAGCTCTGATCATTCCTCACCCCACATCTTTTTAGCCTTTAAGCTCAGAGCACAAGATCCTGTATGGGTTTATTTCATTTTGGGATGGCAAGTTCTTGTTCACTCAATGACTTTTTCACAGATTCAAACTCTTTGAAGGCAGAGATTTTATATGACTTATATCTCTGTTTTCTGCATATACTGTGGATCAATAATCATTTGTTCAATGGCTGTCCTGCTGCTTTCTGCACTGACACCAGCCATTTTGGCTAATAAATGTGGAGCGCTTACTGCATGCCAAGCATCGGCCAAGTGCCTTGCCCATATTATCTCATGGGTTCTTTACAATAGCCTTCTGAGGTAGGTACTCTTAGTGCCACTATTTTGTAAATAAAAAACCACAAAGACTTACAGTTGCTTGCTCAGGCAACTAGTTGAACCCGGGTCTAAGAGGGCTCTCTGTTCTTACCAGTGAGCTGTACCTCCTGACTAGTTGGAGCATTTATCATTTGGTAGCAGGAAAAGTCCTTTATTCTGCCTGAAATAAATGAACTAAAGCAGCTGGTAGGCCCTACACATGCCTCCATAAGACTCTAATTCTTTAGCCTTGGGCTATGATTTTCAAGCATTGCATTAAAGTTTTATGAAACAACAATCCCTTATCCACTGTTTCCAGCCGGCAGCTCCCTGAACTCCAGGGGGACTGACTGTCATTTATATGCTTTTCTTGCCCTTTTACCAATCCATTCCCAACATCACATCTCCTATTGAGCAGTCCATTAATCACCTTGTCACCCTGTTGATTAAGTAACCTCTGTTAATTTCCTGGGAATAACCAACTCAACTAAGACCCTGGCACAGAGATGCCATGTGGTTTCCTTCTTACCAATGCCTCCAAGTTTTCCTTTAGGTCATTTATCCTCATTTCTCCTCTTTCCCTTTGTCTCCCCTTCTTTTGATTGACAAAGTAATATACAGTTTAACAACAAGCCATTGTTGTATGAAGTTAAGTAAGGCATTGTTTAATTGTGCTCAACGCTGCCTGAGAAGTATATTCAACCAAATGCTCTAGGAACTGATGCTTACAGAAAGGGTACTCACACACATAGCTGTCAACCTGTCCCTGGTCCCCATGGTGGTGTAGTCAGTGAAAACAAATAGGGCCTTTTATTAGAGAGGAGTCAGACCATATTCTGGGGACAAGACCTGGGCAGTGGGGAGAAATCCCCAAATTGGCTTCCATGGCAGAGTGTCGCTGATCTGCCTATCTTTTGAACACAGGCTTCAAGATATTGGCTGTTGCAAAGTGGATTGGCAATAGGAAAGACAAGTTCCAAAATTTTTCCCATCAGTAGTAGCAGAAAAGTCAGAATACAGCTAATTAGGCCCACACCAGCCTTATTCCATCAGTCCCTTCTTTGAATGACTGTTTATAGACCAAGGTGTGACCTCATTTTTCTGAGCTCAGCACTGAGCTAGGTTCCAGGAACTCCTCAATCCCAAGTTCCCCATCCAACACACTGAGTCCCTCTATGTCTTTCGGCAAAAAGCTCAGCACTTACTTAGCACTCTCTTCCAAAGTCAAAGCAGTTTACTATCAAATATTAATTAATCCCCATGACACCCCCAGATCTACAGACATTATGATCCTTGTTTTTCAGATGAGGAGACTGAAGGACATTCTGGGCTTAGGTGGGAAGAGTGGATGTTGCCTCTGATTTGCTCCACTGTGCAGGTTCCTGTGTTCTTTTCTTTATCTGGGGTGTTAGCCCTTAAGAGCTGGCCCAATATTCAAAAAAGGCATCACAAACAGTAGCTCTACTGTATTCGCCACTGGCAGCAGCCTCCCTGTAAGGAGAGCAATTGGATCTTGACAGTTTTTGTACACTGTCAAGAGTTAGAGGTAAATGAATGGTGGCCAATTGATCACTTTTCTCCACCCATAAGGCACCAAGTGTGCATATATGTCTGTGAAAGTTGCAAGAAGGAGGAATATCCTGGCTAACTGAGCAGAAGGGAATTTACTGGGAGGACAGGAAGTAGAGGACTTAGAAACAAGACCCAAGGAGGCTACAGGGAGCTCAGCAGCAACAAGAGGACAATCACATGTTGTGGCTGTCTCATCATGAGTGGTCTCAACTTTGCCCACATCTTTTCTTCCGTTGTTCAAATTTCTAGCTTTTGAGCAGAGGTCTCAAGGTGTTGGATGTTGCAAAGTGGATTGGCAACAGGAAAGACAAGTTCCAAAATTTTTCCCAGCAGTAGCAGCAGCAGCAGCAGCAAGGGCAGAATATAGCTAATCAGGCCCATACCAGCCTTATTCCATCAGAGCTTTATTCTATCCACCTCTGCCCAAAAGTCCCAAGAGGGAATGTCATATTGGCTGAGCCTGACTCTTAGCTGTGGTGATGAGTTGAGGAGGAGGAGGATTGCATTTCTTTAACCTCTGAAAAGAAAGGAAACTTCTGCCTTCCACCAAGACTACACACAACAGGGGACCCAAAGGGAGGTTGCTGCTATTAAAGAGGGATTTAGATGCTGGACAGATGAAAACTTGATAAATATTCTGTATGACCTGGGCCGATGAAGGTCTCCAGGATCTGGAAAGAGGCGTCATGGCAGCAGAGATTTAGTTGTGGTCAATAACAGCTGACAGGTTGGTGCCACCATCTAGCACAGAGGGCTGGACCACGGTACAGCACAGCAGCCTTTTCCTCTCCTGGTAGCTGAAAGGCTCACTTGCTGAATCTTAAATTGAAATCCTAAAATCCTGGTCAATTATAATCTCTAGTTTATCCCCAAATTTGGGCTAGCTCAGTTCATTAGGGGATGATGTTAACAATAGCAAAGGTTCGAATGTGCACATCTTTGGGCCGTGGCTATTTCATAAAAGGCTGCAGTATACACCATAGGGGCTGGATGGCAGTGAACAGCCATCACTACAAACAGAAGGCAAAGGCTAGGGGGAAAAGGACCCAAACACAGAGAATCAAAGAGCAGAAAGGGGCCTTGCACATGTAGCCGAATCCACTCAGTTCTTACACAAAACTTGCTAATAATAGAAACTCAGCTGACAAAGGATAGTATTCTTTATCCCTGAGATGTAGGAAGAAATAAACTTCCCACCAAGGAAAGAGTGGTTAAGAACAAGAATTACCTGCATGCAGATAGACAAACTGGGTATATATCATTCATGTCCAAGATTAGTGGGGATGGGAGCTTTTTTTTTTTTTCATCAGAGAGATCATTAAAGAAAAAGTATAAACATGGTAAAAACATTGATCTGCTGTCACCCAATAACCCTCAGGAGCATATCCTCTAATAGGGACTTGGTTTTTTTTGAGAATGCTGGCTTCCCATAAACAACCATGCCTCAATGTTAGTAGCACCTCAATATTTGCATCTGTTCAGATTTCCTTGAACTGGGAGTGAGGGGAGAACTCAATGGCAACTTATTGTGCTGAAACTCCACCCATCCTCTGACATGCAGGCATCTCAGAAGGGGTGAGTGCAGATGCTCCTGACTTTCCCAAGAACACAGTAGACGTACCTTGAAGAAAAGCCAAGGAGCGAAATGAAAACTGGAGCCTTAAAATACACTGGGATGAAATTCTAAACACACTCTACTTAGGATGACCACACTGCCTGATTTTCCCAGGAGAGTTTCAGTTGATACCTGCTCAAATGTGTCCAAATGTGGATGATTAAGTATATGTTACTCGGATTCTACTGGGTCTTTGATGGTATAACCAGGATTTGGGGCTAAGGCCTGATGTATAAGCAAATGCCCTAGTCATAGGGATGGGTCCTGGGGAATTCATGTTAAAGCCATGGAAAAAACTGTTCATAAATTAGGATAGGCATCCTTCTTGCTCCTCGCTGTCAGTTCTAGGCCATTTCCCACCCTCGTCAGTACTTCCCAGCTTTGACTCATATTACCAGGCTTGACTGCCCACCGCTCCACCTTCCTGCAGTCAGCATTTACTCTCAAGTCTCTCCCCTTACTCTGAAGATTTCAGCTTCTGGCTCGTTGTCACTCTCTGGATACAACTCATCCCACCATGATGATCTCATCTCGTCTCAGGGCTTTAAATAGCAGCTCAAGCCTGGAGCTCTCCCTGAAATGCTAAACTTGTATATTCAACTGCTTACCAACATCTTTACTTGGATTATTAAGAGGCACGTCAGGCTTAGCCTGCTGTGAACTAAGCTTTTACTTCCCTCCATATCCCAAAACGTGCTCCTTTTATGGAGCAGTTGCTATCTCATTTAAAGGTAACTCTATCAGTTACTCAGGGAGAAAAACTCAGTCTCACCTTGAACCCTCTATTCTTTCACATCTGACATTTTATTTGTTAGAAAACCTTGTTGTCTAAGGTGTATTCAGAATCTAACCACTTCCTACTTCCACAGCTAACACCTTGGTTCAATGCACCATCAACTCTCCTCAGGATTATGATATCTTCTTAGCTAGTTTATCTGCTTCTACCTTTTCCTTCATATAATTTATTCTCAGCTCAGCAACTAGAGGGATTCTGGTTAAACACAATTAAGATTATATCACTGCTCAAAACCCAGCCACAGGCTTAAAGCCAATCCACTCATTATGACCTAGGAATTTCTTTATGATCTGGCTATCCATTACCATTCTGACCTCCTTCCTAATCTCCCCCTCGCTTGCTCTAATCCGATCCCATCGGCTTCATGTCGGGCACACTCCTACTACAGCAGGGCCCTTTTTTTTTTTTTTTGGAGATGGAGTCTCGCTCTTTCTCCCATGCTGGAGTGAAGTGGTGCGATCTCAGCTCACTGTAACCTCCACCCCCACCCCTGATTCTCCTGCTTCAGCCTCCAGAGGAGCTGGGATTACAGGTGCACACCACCAGGCCTGGCTAATTTTTGTATTTTTAGTAGAGATGAGGTTTCCCCATGTTGGCCGGGCTGGTGTCAGACGTCTGACCTCAGCTGATCCTCCTGCCTTGGCCTCCCAACGTGCTAGGAGTACAGGCATGAGTCACTGCGCCCAGCCTACTATAGGACCTTTGTTCGTACTTGCTGTTTCTTTAGCCTGGACACTTCCCTCAGAGGTTCACAAGGCTTGCCTCCTGCCTTCCTTCTTACTTCTCAGCAAAGCCATCCCTGACCAACCTATCTAAAATTGTAACCACCTCCAAAAATTCTATTCTCCTTTCCTGATTTTCCTTGTTAGCCAGTATCATTAATGCATCATATAGATTACTTAAATATCTTGGTTTTTAAAAAAATGTATCTCTCCCACTAGAACATAAGCTCCTGTAAGCAAGAATTTCATTTATTTTGTTAACTGCTATTTCTCCAGTGCCTGGAAAAGTTCCTGACATACAGTTTGCACTCAATATTTGCCAAAGAAATGAATTAAAGCATCAGTTATAGACCTCAGTTTGCCCTTGGGTATTTTACAACTTTGTAACAAATTTCAAGAACTTTCCTTTGAAAGGAATAACTATGATCTTTTACCCCGACTTTCTGCCATGTGAAGTAATCTTTTTATACAACCCTAGATCTATGGGGACTCTGACTGACTTGACCTGTGCTCTTTCTAGAAAGAGAGTTCACTACCTCACCAGCTAGCCTGGTTGGAAAAATCTGTGGGCTAGAAAATGCTGCCTTATATTGAACCAAGATGTTCTTGAATGTCTTGGTTTACTGAACCAAGACCAGTTGCTTACACTGGTCCCAGTCCACTGGCCTCTCTTGGAACAAAGTTACTGCTCTATTTACACAGTATAGGATGATTCCTCTGCCTCTTGTCTTCTTCAGGTTAAATAAGCCCAGTTTCTTTATCGGTTTCACCCATGATGTAGTTTGCTGTCTCCTCACCATTCTTGCTGCCTCCTCCGGCCGCAGTGCCTTGCCTAAGTGAAGGTCCCTAAAAGTGGTCACACCAGACTAGGTGTGACCCCCTACAGAGCACAATGGGACTCTTTCCCAGCGATTGTGACTCTCTGGTATGTCATAAAGACAGTGCTTGAGGTGTGGTGGTAGCCTCACTGCCTTAAGACAGGCTTTGCTTGGGCTGACGGGGGGTGGAGGCAGGAGTAGTCATGGATGATTTTGGGGTCTGGGTGCATTTGTGGCAGTGGTATGAGGTGGCAAGACAAAGAGGGGGTGAACAACACGAATAGTATGCCACACAACATAAAAGATCGGGAAAGGCTGTAAGGGAGGAGGCCCTGCAGGGTGGCTAGCATTTCATCTTGGGTGTGGAGGAAAAGGTAGGGGTCTGAGTTCACGGAAACTCTGATTAGGGGTCGGTCGAGCAGCCTGTTTCCCAAGGTGCCCTGGAGAGGTCATCTGACCACATTTTCCCCTCAAGCCACTAGATGGAGCACTGGGATAGAGGATGTGAAGTGGGGTTCCTGGGATTTATGCAGAAGAAAACCCGACATCCAGTTCTTGAGCAAGTTGCTTAACTCTGCACACCATTTTCATCTGTAAAATAATGTCTACCTTATAGGATTCTTGGGCATAGCCAGTGAGCTAAGAGTTACAAAAGTGCTTGTAAGCTGTGAAGAGCTACAAAAAAGATAACTCGTTTTGCTATTTTGTTTTAAAAGAGATAGGCAGGTAATACAGCGAAAAGCTCTTTCTTGGCCTGTTTTCTGCAAAAGCATTGGGTCCTCCATCAGTTCAACCCATAGATGGCCCCAGGGCTAGGGCAGCCTGACCTCCCAAAGTCTGGGATTAGAGGCGACGCACCTGAAAATGGGGATGACGTAATTGTTTGGGAAGATGCCAACTCGCCCGGTGACCAAGGAGACGCCCCTGAGCCAGCCGTCCTGGCACTTCCCCAGGACCCTGATGCCTTCTCCCCGTTGCAGGTCCAGCTCATCAGGTCCATGGGCTGAGTAGGAGTGCAGGGCTACAAACCTGGGAAGACACAGAGAACTGGTGAGAGAGGAAGGAAGGTGTGCCTGATGGGGGGCATGGAGCTGGCCAGTAGTGGAGAGAGGCCACCTGGTGGTTAGCAGTGAGAACCTTCTTGGCCGAGTGGGCACAGTGGCTCACGCCTGTAATCCCAGCACTTTGGGAGGCCAATGTGGGAGGATCACCTGAGGTCAAGAGTTTGAGACCAGCCTGGCCAACATGGTGAAACCCCATCTCTACTACTAAAATAACAAAAAATTAGCCAGGTGTGGTGGGGGGTGCCTGTAATCCCAGCTATTCAGGAGGCTGAGGCAGGAGAATTGCTTGAACCCAGGAGGTAGCAGCCACAGTGAGCCGAGATTGCACCACTGCACTCCAGTATGGGTGACAGAGTAAGACTGTTTCAAAAAACAAAGCAAATAAAGACCCCCCCGCCACCAAAGAACAAAAACAAAACCAAAAACAATAAAGAACCTTCTTGACACAGAAACCTGGACATGTAAGGCAGATAAACATGCAACCCCTTGGTTGAAACAGTGGTGGAGGAGGCCAGGTCCCTGCCTTCTTCATCTCCCCATCATCCTCCATGCAGTGCACAGCAGCAAATCACTAATTTAGGCCAACCTTGGCACTTTAACTATGGGGAAACAGGCCTTGAACAAGGAAAGGAGTTGGCGACAGGAATAAGCGTCAGGGATGAGCCTCAAACCTAGAAGGTGCTGCTCTACTACCATGCTTTTTCACTAGTGCTTGTTGTGCCCCCAAGAAAATGGTGGCAGCCAGCAAGGTTCAGGGGAATAAGAGGTCAGCATAGAAGCCTCTCTGATCCAGAAAGCAGGGACGTGTTTGACTCCTGGGAATGTCCTAAAGAGTCAGCTTAACGTAGGCAGAGAAGTAGACGTTGGGAAGTGGGAGGCAGGGGAGAAATTTTGCTTTTGGCACCCAGTAGAATCCTGGCTGCATGGTGGGACTGGGAAATGGGCCTGTGACATGGCAGAAAGTCCTCAACTTAGAACAGAGTTGCTCCCTGAAGTCCACACAGGAATCAGGCAGGTAATATCCAGGTCTGAGTCAGAGGGGTGAAGACCATCAGGACTGATGAGGCTGTGGAGGTGAGAATGGGTGCCTGACCAAAGGCATTCAGGAAACAATCCATTGGTTTGCCAGATTCAGGGGTCACCAGCATGTGGCCCCCAGGCATCTCAGACATCAGGAAGCCCTTCCAGACTCCAAGGACTGTGAGACACTGGAGTGTTTTATCAAAGGGAATAGGGGAGTGTTCTCTACATGGCTTTTTTCTTTTTCTTTCTAAAATGCTATATTTATTTTTTGCTGATTACCGAAACAACATCTATTTATGACCCAACATTTGAATCTAAAGCAAGACAATAGAAATTGCTCAATACCCAATCTCCCAGTGATGTTGTGATATGTAATCTTCCAGTCTCTTTCTACTTTTGTAAAGTAATGAGCTAAGAGTGCTGTGGTTTGCTAATTTGTATGTTCTTTTTTTTTTTTTTTTTTTTTTTTTTTTTTTTTTTGAGATAGGGTCTTACTCTGTGGCTTAGGCTGGAGTACGGTGGGATGATCATAGGTCACCAAAGCCTCAAACTCCTGGGCTCAAACCATCCTCCAGCCTCAGCCTCTTCAGTAGCTAGGAAAACATGTGTGCACAGCCATTCCTGACTCATTTAAAAATTTTTTTTGGTAGAGATGGGGTTCTCATTATGTTGCTCAGGCAGGTCTGAAACTTCTGGGTTCAAGCAATCCTCCTGTCTCAGCTTGCTGTAGTGCTGGGATTATAGGTGTGAGCCACTGCACCTGGCCCTAATTTGTGTTTTTCACCATTATTTCACTTGGAAGTGGTAAAGAAAGGTGACCTGTTGTCTCTCTGGATGGGATGGTTTGGGAATGGTGATGCTCAATCACTGTACCTGGTAAAGATGACCCCTCTGTGCCAGGACTGGGGTGAAGGGATGAGCCTTTTACTCACATGTTCGCTGAGAGGTGTTGCTGGGAGCCAGGCAGACTGACCACGGCTGTGGAATGTCCTGGAGAGGCAGGTGCGGGGTGATAAGTGCTGACCTGCACAGACAGAAAAAATAGCCATGCAGGACCAGTGAATGCCACAGCCCAGGCCCACAGCAAATAGAGCAGCTACGCAGGGGCCCCACACAGCTGAAAACCAAGAGCCATGCCAGTGCCACCCATTGTGCATCCTCTCTGTGGTTTGTGGCTGTGGGAACAGGGAAGTGGGGAGGAGCTGGATTATGGCCTGCTGGGGTGGCATGCCAGGACTGCATTCCAAAAGAGTGCTCAGATAGGGTGGAAGATGAAGAGCCGTCCAATTTACAGTCCACAGGGCACTGCCAGGCTCCTCCTCCTGTCCTTCTCCCCACCCCACCCATCTCCCTCTATGAAAACCTGCTCTTGAAAAATGAAACGGTGGCTAATATTGATTCAGAAGTGAGCACTTGCCAGGCAGTTTTAAGTGCTTTATAAGTGTCAGCTAAGTTAATCCTTATTAAAGGAACTGTTATAATCCCCATATTTGAATGAGAAACTGAGACAAAGGGGGAAAGAAAGGTCACACAATTTGTATGAAACAAAATCTAAAATTACGTACTCGAAGTTCTGAGCCCATACTCTTATTATTGACTTTTGCTAGAATTCACACACACACACACACACACACACACACACACACACACACCCCAGCCTATCCGATGACTTATAGAAGATGAATTTGGATCACTTTAACTTTTCCAGGATAAAAGAGGAGACAATAATGATAAAACTCCTGGAAGGCTGAGCTCGGTGGCTCATGCCTTTAAGCCTAGCACTTTGGGGGCCTGAGATGGGAGGATCGCTTGAGCCCAGGAGTTCTAGACCAGCCTGGGAGACATAGCGAGACCCCGTCTCTTTAAAAAATATTAACTGGGTGTGATTGCAGGTACCTGTCATCCCAGCTACTCAGGAGGCCGAAATGGGAGGTTTGCTTCAGCCTGGGCGGTCGAGGCTACAGTGAGCCATGATTGTGCCACTGTACCCCAACCTGGGTGAAAGAGTGCAATAAAGTTCCTGGAAACTGCCTACTATCCTAGGGCTTTGGCAAATATATTGCCTTTTTTTATTTCCTTCTGAGCACATATTACAGATTATGAGAGTTTCCTTGCTAGACTGTAAATTCCATATGGGCAGGGACTATGCCAGTCTGGTTCATTATTGTATTTCTGTGTGCTCAATATGTACTTGTAGTTTAAAAAACAAATGAATGAGTGAATGAATGAATGAAAAGGTCTTCCTACCTAGTACACCAAGGATAATGAAATCTTCTCCATACCATTCAGAGTAAATATATTCAGTCAATTTTCAGTCATCTACTGATAAGTGATGGTAACTCTATGTGTGCCTTTTTAGGACCATGCTTTTGTGGGTACAACTATTGTTTATGTATTTGTGTTTATGTAGGTGTGAGTGCATTATTAAATACTTATGTCCCTCTGTTTTGAGCAAACATGTATGTTTGTTCAAAGCCCATGGCAATTTAATATACATGTGTGATGGCTTTGGTCCATTGTAAATCTGGTTTTGTTCATACATATGGGTTATGGATTGATGTTTGTATGCTGCATGTGCTGCAGAAGATTGCAGACACAATTGTATAATGGATTGTAAATACCTATATGAGATTCTGTGTGTGTGTGTGAACTCTAGAGGAGTATACAGGTATGCACACCATGTAATGTTATACGTGTGTCTGTGTCAATGATTGTGTAAATGTTTGTGTGGTCATGTATGTATTTGTGACAGTGCAAAGATTGAGTTGTAGAATCAAAAAACCACTTTAGTCAAATAATAAGTGTTGGTGAAGAGGTATAAAAATGGCAACCCTCGTACATTGCTGGTTGGAATTTAAAATGGTCCAGCCTCTTTGCAGAACAGTCTGGCAGTTCCTAAAATGTTTAAACATAGGATTACCATATGATCCAGTAAATCCATTTCTAGTATGTACTAAAAATAAATGAAAACATATGTCCACACAAAAACTTATAGGCAAATATTTCAGCAGCATTATTCATAATAGCCAGAAGAAGGAAACAACCCAAATGTCTATTCATTGATGAGTGGATAAACAAAATTTGGTATAACAAGACAATGAAATATTATTCAGCCATAAAGATCAATGAAGTATTGATACATAAGAGACCATGGGTAAACCTTGAAAACATTATATTAAGTGAAAGAAGCCAGACAAAAGACCACATATTATTTGATTCCATTTATATGAAATGTCCAGAATAAGTCAATCTACAGAGACAGAAAATAGATGATCATTTCCAAGGGTTGGGATGATGGGGAATATGAGGTGATAGCTAAAGGGTTAGAAGGTTTCTTTTTGAAGTAATAGAATATTCTAAAATTGTAGTGATAATGGCTACACATCTGTGAATATACTAAAAACCACTGAGTTGTATACCTTAAATGGATGAATTGTATAGTAAGTGAATTATATATCAATAATAAAGCATTAAGAAGAAATAAACCATTCCACCATCACCCACCTAAGGTACTTTTAGCACTGCATAAAGAGTTTGTAATCAGATATTGTTCCACCTGTTCCTCCAAACAGATATGACAAGGAGCTGGCTTTGGGCTAGGCTGTTCCTTGTCTGTGACTAGGGAAGGTAAACCCTACAGGGCTTATGTTTCTGGAGACTGTTGGAGCACTGATTAAGCAGGATGGACTTCACTTAACACTCCTGGATTTCCAACATTATGTTTGAGTAAAGGAACTGCTATCCATAAACACCGTTAATCCTTTAGGGAGGGGGAAGATGCCAGAATGCAAAGCCATCTTTTCATTACACCAGGGTCTGTCTTTTTACTTCTCTGGGCCTTTACTCGGGGGGGGGGTGTCTTTCCCCGATTTGGAACAGTGAGCCTGGCCAGGACAGTAATCTGTGGGCTTGTGACAGAGTTATTTCTAATATAGAATGGGAAAGGATGTGAAATTCTCAGGTTTTAAAGCATCCTGGAAGAGAAGAGAAGAGATGACATGAGAAGGAAGAGGAAGGAAGCAATAAAGAAAGGGGGAGGGGGGAGACAGTGGGAGACCCTGAGAATGGCATAGGGTAAAACTGGGACAGAGATACCATGGGAGAATGACAGATCCAGAGGAACAGAGGGAGGAAGAAAGGAGAATAAAGGGAGGTAAAAGCAGTTTCGAGAAACTCTCACAATACATTCATAGGAAGACAAACAACCTAATAAAAGTGGGCAACAGATACCACGGAAGATGATATATTGAGTGGCCAATAAACACATAAAAATATGCTCAATATCAATAATTTCCAGGGAAATGCAAATTGAAAGCACTATAAGATACTGCTACACACCTCTGAAAATGGCTAAAATTAAAAAGACCAACCATACCAAGTGTTGGTGAGGATGTGGAGCACTTAGAACTTTCACATCCTTCTAATGGGAATGCAAAATGGTACAGGCTATGTTGGAAAGCAGATTGGCCATTTCCTATAGAGTCAATCCTACACTTTCCATACTACTCAGCAACTGAACTTACAAATGTTTACTTAAGAGCAATGAAAACATGTCCATACAAGGACTTGTACATTAATGTTCAGAGCAACTTCACTCATTTTAACCAAAAACTAGAAACACCCCAAATGCCCATCAACTGGTAAATCAATAGGCAAACTGTGGTAGAACCACAGTGGTGTACTCCTCAGTAGTACATGCAACAGCAGGATGAATCTTAACAGTGCCCTAAAAGATGCAGGATGCTGAAGATTATATACTACATAATGCCAATTATATAAGATTTTAAGAAGCCATAACTATAGTGACAGAAAACAGATTAAGGGTTGCCAAGAGCCAGGGTGGGGAGAGAGGATTGATGGCAAAGGGGCACAAGAGAGCTTTTTGAGATAAATATTTGATATATTGATGTTGGTAGTGATCACATGCTGTATATGTTTACCAAAAGTTATTGAACTGTATACTTTAAATGCTTAAACATTATTGTATATAATTAAACCTCAATAACTGTTAAAAACATGACTACATTATCTGGTTAAGGCCACAGGAAACATCCAAGGGGTCTTAGCTTGACTCAGCTCGAGCTCTGGAATTAGCCAGGGAAGGGGATGGGAACTGCTCAGCTTCACAGAGAGCAGCTAGTAAGTAACCGTCATGGTAGGGGCCACCTGAATAGGAGAGAAACCAAGAATGGGAACCCATGGATCGGAGGCTCAATCAATAAGGCAAAGGAAACATGAACGAATGAATGATTGGAGAGAGAGGAAAAAAGAATGAAAAGAGAAAGGGGGAGATAAATACAGTTTGGAGAAACTCTCACAATATATTCATAAGAAGACAACCCAATAAAAATGGGCAACAGAGACCAGAGAAGATGACATATTGAGTGGTCAATAAACACATGAAAATATGCTCAACATCAGTAATTACCAGAGAAATGCAAATGAAAAGCACTGTGAGATACCACTACACACCTATGAGACAGACATAGGCGGAGAAGAGAGAGAAACTGGGTGGGAAAGAAGACAGGCAGAACAAGACAGAAAGGCAGGCCCCACCTGGTTAAGTGAAGACAGCTAGGTAGATGGATGGCCAGCTTCTGAGGAGACAAGTCTGCTCCTGTCACTGTGATTGAAGAAGGAGGCCCAGCCTTTCTGAGTGAATGGGCCTGGCCCTGGTTCCTTTCCCTGGGGTCAGTTGTGACCTTGGGTGCTGTGCCACAGAGGCTGGCTTGGAGGTTCTCCAGCAACCGATGCTCTGTGGCCCAGGGTTCAGAGTCTTGAGCAAGATCAGGGTTAAGTATGGGTGTGTGGGTATAGTGGGGACGGGCATTTCTGCAGAAATCTAGACACATTTTTTCCCTCCCTTTTGAAGGATATGACTCATCTAAAAGAAGTCTTTATCTGCCACAGCAGAATCCACAGCTGTGTGGCTTCTGGGAATTTCCAGGTCTTCAGGTGCTAAGTGAGGGAGTAAGAGGGTATGAAGCCTCCTGGCACAGAGTTTCTGGCAGTGCTCTGCCCTGC